TAAAATATTGAAAATACCGAAATATCGAACCAAAATACCGGTATAACGATATTTTCGGTATACCGACTCATATCAAATATCATACCGAAATATTGAAGGATAAATACCCCCTATATTTATATATTTAATTATTATAAAAATATAATTTCACATTAATTCTAATTGTATTAGGTAATCATGTATGATTGCAATAGGACATACCGAGATTTGGCTACTACCATTACCAGACTAACATGTTGATGTAATATCACTAGGTTTAAAGTGGTTTACACAAACTCTTGAATCCCTGTTTAAAGGACACCCAATAATATTTTCCCAAACACTCACCATATTTTGAGGAACACCAAATTTAGATGCAGCACTTTTACTACACCCAGGAACACAACACTTGTTGGAAACCATGTCGGAATAAAGAAAAATATATATGTAAAGTGTACGAAATAAACTACTACTAAAATGTAAACCAAGAAAAATGGAAATTGGTGCAACACTACAAAAGCAAATTATTGAGGATTGTGTTGTATTGTAATCTCTATTCCAAATCCAAAATATCATGACAAATAATATAATATATAAATTGTCATACCAATTAGTATCCAATAATGAAAATTCGCGGGTAAATGTTTAAAGATAACATTATTATCAAATAAATAAAATTGTTTTTAGCCGCAAGAGCGCTAGCTACTGTTCTCACACAAACCATCAGCTGTTTATATTCGAGAATCTTTGGGCATCATTTCTGTTGTATAATTTTAATGTGTAGCTTCGTAACCTGTTTATCTTAAGCCATGATATAGACACAGCGTTATTAAATAGTTGTAACTACTAATTACTCATTGGGTTATAAGCATAGATATATAAAACAACTAGATAGCCGACTCTGTGATAAAGTCTCATAAGACATATGAAGCCTGGCAGCCATATGCGAACAGGGCAAAATACGATTGATTAATCCATGAAATATTTAATTACTCCATGATTTTTTAAAAACTGCGAAAATTTGATTTCTGAATCAGTCCGATTAAGAGGACGTTGCACGGATATTTGTTTTTTTCCGACTTACAAGTGCGTACATCGCACATTTTACGCTCAGCCGGTCACTGATTAAGTAGTTTTTGAGTTTATCCATTATACACAAACAAATCTTTTCTCTTTATAATAATAAAATAATGAATAATTTCAAATCACGGAATACCATAAGGTACTGTATTGGGTCCTCTTTTTCATTGTGTTTATTAATGACTAATTGAGTATTAATTGTAATGAATCAATTTTCAGTTTTACTGATGACACGTCAATTATTATGGATGACATAAAGAAAAATAGTATTCATAATAAATCTACTCGTGTATTAAGTATTTTCAAAATATGGTTTGACAATAACCTCCTGGAACTTAATTTAACCAAAACTTGCTTTATAAACCTTAGTATAAATAAATCTTCACCCATTGGTTATAAATTTATAATTATCTCAAGCTTCATCAAAAAAACTGTAATGAATTTAATATAAATACAGTGATTTCTATTAGTAATGACAGTAGATGTAATTGCACTACTATGTTTTATCTAGTTCAAAAAGTAAAATATCTAGTTATTACTATAGCTGATGCTAACTTAAAATGACAAAATCATATTATTAATACAACTAGAAAGATCAGATTATTATTCTATAAAAATTAAAACTCTTATCAACATACTTCCACCCACCACAATGAGACCTACTTATAATTTATATAAGTATAAATACTATAATATTATAAAGCATAGGTATTATACACATAATAAACACAACAATAGTTAACAAATAGTATATATTTCTTCATTACACTTTTATGAATACAATTATTTTATTGGTTGGAGAATAATATTAATTTGGATAATTTATGTCTCTTACTGACAGGGTTCAAAATATCTGTTGAATACATTTTTCCAAATGATTTTAATCTGAGTCTTACAATTTTTTTTGTTATATGTGTTATAAGAATTAGTTTATATTATATAGTTTATATAGTTTTATGGTTTTAAACTCGTAAATTGTAATTTCAAATTTGTAACGAAGTAGCAACTAGCAATCATAATTTCATCATACCATATATTATCATGTTTCAATCATAGATAAATTATATTTCATGGAAAATTATATAATGTCATGGATTAATCAATCGTATTTTGCCCTGTTCGCATATGGATGCCAGACTTCAAATTTTGACGTTGAGTCGGCTATCTAGTTGTTTTATATATCTATGGTTATAAGCAACTTGTACAGATAACCTGATAACATGATAACAGATAAGAGATTTCAATTTATGATATATCACTAGAACATGCGCAGAACGGTCACGGTTCAGTTTTGTGTTTATAGCTTAGATCATAATATACAATGGATATGACCTATAGATTACAAATAACATCGATGATGTACAATGTACATTGTACATGTTAGCGACGAGTCTCTGCCACTCTCGAGTGTGATGGCCTCTACTGATCATGCGCCGCTATAGCTATTAATCGCATATTTATCTCAAACCATTTATTCGTATTTTTTATCAAAAGACAATAATCTATTATACAGATTTCAACTTATTACCAATTCAATAAATTCAAGTTAATTAATTAATTAAAATGTTTATTATTAATTAATAATTACTAGTATAGTTAATAGTTAAGCTATTAAAAAGTATTTAAAATAAATTGTCAATCTTTTTTAATTAGTTAAAATAAATGAATACCTAATTAATAATAATAAATGTAAAAGTAAAATAATATTTTTATGAATTATATTATAAATATATTTTAAAAACAATAAAACCAGAAGTGTATTTAACAATATCAACCACATATTCTTCCAGTACTGGTAGGTGCTTATAATAATCATGATCAACTTCATCAAATAAGGCTAAATTTTCATTGTTGTCTGTATTAACTATGATAGCGGTAAAAGTGATCTAAATTGATGAGTAGTGTCTACATTGTCTACAAGTCTACAGTTTTTTGTACTTTGTCTTACCGGTGCTTCATACTTAATATGTATTTTGAATTTTTTTTTTCCAGTTTATTCTAGGCCATTTAGGCCCATAACCGCTTCCACTATCTCCCTCCATGATTCTCTATGTTCTGCCAGTTCCTCTCCATTCATGACTCCCAGCATCCTGATGTCTTCCTTGACTCGATCTTCCCACCGTTGTCTAGGCCTTCCTCTCGGTCGACTTTTGTTCGGTTTCCATTTCGTGATGGTCCATAATAGTTGGTATTTTGCTCTCCATACGTGTCCGGCCCATCTTACTCTTTGGCTCTTAAGTGTGGCAACTATATTGGGTTCATTATATAAAGAATTCACGTATCTGTTTGATCTTATTTCATAGATACCCTCCTCATTTCTTTTTGGACCAAATATTCTACGCAAAATTTTTCTTTCGAAGATCATTAATTTTTTTTCGTCTGATTTGGTAGATGGTCATGCTCCACAAGCATATAGTACAATTGGTCTAACGAAGGTCTTATTAAGTCTTACTTTCGTTCTTCTTGATAGCTTTTTAGATTTAAATAATTGGATTAATGAGTAGTAGCCAGCTGAGATTCTCCTGTGTATTTCCTCGTGGCTATCTGCCTGTGAATTTATGTCTACTCCTAAGTACTTAAAGTTCCAAACTCTTTCAAATGACATGTCTTTTATTGTTATAACACTTTGTGGATGTTCTCTCCTAGATATAATCATGAATTTGGTTTTATTTTCATTAATAATAAGCCCAATCTTTCCCGCTTCTTCACTGAATTATAATATATATATAATAAGAAAAATAAGCGTGTGGTAGAAATAGGATGATGGCTATGTTAAAAACAAAATATTGTAATGTGACAACGGAGGCAGTTATGGTATATATAGGTTTATGCAGTAATTGTCGAGTAAAACAATCAAATCCCAAAAGAGAGCTTGTGACAAAACCAATTCTACATTCCGCATTTAATTCAAAAGCGCAAATTGATTTGATTGACATGAAATCTCAAAATTATAATAATTATCGCTATATAATGAATTATCAAGATCATTTAACGAAATTTGTTATTTTAAAACCTTTGAAGACAAAAAGGGCCGAAGAAATTGCTTTAAATCTGATAGATATTTATACAATATTTGGTGCACCCGCTATACTCCACTCGGATAATGGTCTTGAGTTTGTTAATTCTATTATAACAAATTTGAAAGAAATGTGGGGAGACATCAAAATTGTGCATGGCAAGCCTCGTCATAGCCAGGCTCAAGGATCAAGGATTGAACTCGCGAATAGGGACGTTGAAGAAATTTTGGCTTCTTGGATGGCTGATAATAAATCAAAAGACCAAATGGCCAATGGCATTAAAATTTGTGCAATTTCAAAAAAATCAGGCTTTAAACTCAGGTAAGCTATTAACTAAAAAGAATTTTTTTTTAATAATTTTAATTTTAATTAATTAATTAATTTTTTTAAATTTAAACATGTTTATAATAGGTATTGGAAGATCACACTACGAGGCGATGTTTGGTTGTATAGCGAGAACAGGGTTAGCGTCCGCTGGGAATTGGGATACCTTACGATGAAATAGAAAATTTTAAGTCAGTAAAGGATACTGAAGAACTATTTAATAACAGCAACCATTCAGATCATATTAATGCAGTAGAAGATGATTTAGTCAGTGTTGGAGATCTTGAAAATGAAGTAAAATTGGAGACTGAAAATGAATTAAGAAATACTAAAGACATAGGTAATTATTAAATATTTATTATATGTAATTTTTTTTAAAATGCTTACATATTTAATGGTATATTTAATATTGTTCATTAAACCGAAAATTTTAGAAAATAATAAATCATTATTTATTTTTTATTATTACTTAATTTGTAAATTACAAAAAAAATAAAATAAAATAAAATAGCAATCGTCATCTATTTACAGATAAAAGGATTGAAAAAATTAAAGACTAACGAAAAATCGGTTATCTGTCTCGAAAAACAAGCGTCAAAAATGTTGAGATTGACTAACGAAAAATTTTCGAAGCTTGATGTCGTTACAACTGTTCGTGTCCCAATACCAGATGTCGGTACAGCACGAGGTTCTCTGCGTAATTTACTTGCTGTTATTATTTCATGCGAAGATGACATGTATAAATTATATAAGTTAATTTGAATTTGATAATGTTTTTTTCATTTAAATAAAATAAATACCCGAATGTTTGAACCAGGTACAGAATATGGGGTGTTGTAATACAAATATACACGAGCACAAACTTCTCCGTGTAAAGAAAAATTTCTAGAGCTAGATAAAGCCATGAAAAAAATTAAAGACAGGGAAATAACATTAAGAGAAGCCGCAGGACATGGAATAGCTGGTCATCAAGGATTTAATCGATGCAACTGCAAAACTGGTTGTGGTACAAAAAAATGTACTTGCAATTTGTTGTGCAGTTCAAAATGTCATGGTAACCAAAATTGTACAAATAAATAATTTGTAATATGCACGTATTTTATTATTTTTAATTAACCTATTATCCCATTCAAATAAATACCTAAAATAAAAAATGAAACATACACCAACAATAAATCATTATTATAAATAGTACCTATGGTAAAAAAATCAGTGTATTATTTGAGATTTATCATCATTCACCACAAGTGTTGGTAAATTACGTCAATGGCCGGTGAAAGATGTACAATTGAGTTTAAAATATGTGTTTTTACAACATTTACCTACATAATTGAATCATTTTGGTTAATGACGTCATTGACCAGGGAATGACGACATTCACCAATATTCATCTTTCACCGTAACATATGCATTCATAATTATACTTGTGAATGTAGTGATTACATAATTAAATTAAATATATGCTAGCATATTCATGCCTGCGCTATTTTTTCTTCATCAAATACTCAAAAAAATTTGTGTGAGACAACAGAAAAAGAATTTCTAATTCCTGCTGCAGAAATAAACTTTATAGAAAAATCAATAGTAAAAATAAATACAAACAAAGAATATGAACAGTTATTTCAAATAAAAAATCAATTAGAAGCTGGAATAGGAAGATTATAGTCTTTTATTGCAAGTAAAAGTAAAGTGACCGAGAAATAAATTGCAGCAATAAATAAACATAGCAGTTCCTTACTTCAAATATTACAAGGAAAACGAAAGATAATCGAAATATAAGAAAATAAGGAACCTGTAAACAAGAACATCGATAAACAGAAACGATTTGTGACCAAAAAAAGAAAAATTGAATCACTTAGTGGTAGAATAGAATGAACGAAAGTAAATCTCTGAAGGAAGGGTTGGTATTGAGAGAAGCACAAAACATATATACTTCCTACGATCATACTTAACAGTAATATATTTTAATATCCACATGCTTTTTTTACTATGATTTATTTTTATATTTTAGGACTTTAGGTTTGACAAACATTTTAATGAATTTATTTAATTATGACATATTTTAATTTTACTGTAACTATAATAGATAGACTTAAGGTTGACAAATATTATATAAAACGAACTTTTTTATAACACAGGACGTACACAGGAACACTTGTCCAGTGTTGCCGCGTCTAAATATGAAGAGTTTCGATTATATCATCAAAAAGTTTCGAAAAATCCCCACTTTTTTTTTTTTTGTACTCAGACCTCACTTCGCTCGGTCTTCGCAGTTATACCCACGGTTTAAGTTGTATATCTACAACCGTGGTTATACCTATACCCTTGTCCCACACGGCACACCATCAGACACGATTAAAGATAGAACAGCTGAGTACCTAGATAAGACGTAATTGTTTATTGATACCACATCTGTCTAACTGATATCATAATCAATTGTGGTACAATAATTAAAATAAAAAAATATAATATGATTAAATTATGTATTAAAATAATAAACAGTTGACAATGTACGATTATAATTTATATATTATAATTTAATAAAGTTTAAAAAACAAATTAGGAGCTTCCTTGATCCAAAAATTCATGAAAATTCCTTCATTTCATCATTTCTTCATTTATTTCAAAATTATAACATGATTTTCTTTGAAAGTTTAGTATATTTTTTGAGTTAAGTATTCCGCTTAAAGTTTCGGTTTCTAGCCTATTTCTGGTTTTGGTTTTATTTAGATTTATTGTGCTAAAAACTCTCTCAGTGGCAGCGCTATTATGTGGTAATGTTAAAATCAATTTTATAAATTTATTTAATGAGGGAAATAACTCGCTGTCATCCCTTTTTTTCATATCTTTTACCGTTTTCCAAAATGCAATTGTTTCATTATTGTAGTCTTCGATACTGTTTTTTAGTGACCGCCACTCTCTATCCAAATCGTTTAAATCCATATTTAATATTAACAACAAGAAACGGTAAAAGAACAATGGTCAATGACGCACAAATGCACAATACACGAATTACGAACTATCAACTAACAAATCAAACATTAACGAAATTACGAATATCGGAATATTCAGTATTGTAAATTTGAAAAGAAGACAAAGCTATTGGAGGTTAAATACTTCAATCATAGATAATAAATGTATTTATAGTTTTTTATTATCTATATTACATTATATTACTCTATGGTATATTATATGGGTTCAATGAGTATTTTTGTGTATCATTCATATTGCGTAAATAATTATTAAATTATGAACTATCTTCCACATTTTTATATTTTTGTAAATTCAAATTTAATATTTAATTTTACCTGAAATCCCCACATTTTCTTCAAACAATACAAATCCCCAACATTTTCCCCAAATCCAAAAAATAGCACTCAAAATCCCCACGTCTGGCAACACTGCACTTGTCACTTATGCTTTATGATTATCTAATATCTATTTATCTGTAAAAATGTGCTTCTATTTTTTTATATATATTATTTATTATCTATGATAACAAACGTGATTTTCACAAATAGTGATAACAAATGTGAACGATTCTGATTTTGCTCCCGAGACACTCGTGTTTATAGACGCTCTTATCAGCAGGCGTCTATATACAAGGATCAGCAATGGTATAGTGATAAACGGGGGGGGGGTATATTGTATACGTATGTGATAGATAGACTCGACCAATGGGTTGAGCAGAGGTGTACTGGAATCAGCAAGCAGGTATAGTGTTGAGCCAGCAGGATCAGAACCAGAACTCTCTTTTTATTCCTACTAACGAGTGATACGGGCAGTTCTCGAACATTCCTCGTCCTATCACGCGGACCGGTTCGAGGAAAAAAGGCGGCAGCTTGAACATGTTACCTGTGGTGGATGGATATTCTTCCCTTCTGCTTTTATTTTTTAGTATTACTCAAATAGCTAGATGTGCATTGTACATGCAGGGACAAAACATTTGTTAGGCATATTAATTAGGACAATATGAAATATGTTTAAAAAAATAATAAGTTATAGGTAGATGGTAATAGTTCTACAATGTGGTATTTTTTTAAAAATATTATAATTTTATTTTCATCCAAAAGTACAAATATTACATAGTACATAATTGTGTTGAATACAACTTTGAAGAGTTACATAATATATAAATATAGTTAAATAAAAGTATAATTAATTAGTTACTTGTAATAAAGATACGGCAGTACTGGATGTATATGGTTCTGGTAAAGTTGTTGCTGCAGTATTAAGGTGAATTGTGTACCTAGGATATATCTGTATTGGCTAAATTTTTAATAAAGCAAAATTAAATTTATCATACAATTTTTGATTAAATAAAATTTCCCCATCTATTGTTTATACTTACATGTTAACACGATGAACAATAATTGAGGGAACTGAATTTGGTTTTATCCGTTCAGATTTTTTATAAAAATCAAAACAACGTTTTTCAAAGTGTAAAGAACAAATAACTGCATTCTCCTTCACTTGACTTATTGCATACCACTTAGAGCCAAAATCCAACTAGTTTGTTCGTTGAGTTTCATAATTAGGTATCCTTAATAAAACATAATATTTTCTATTAACATGGTCAGTAGTCAGCCTTGGTACTTACCAGTGGCACAAATAGGAAAAATGTTTAGAGGGGTACTCAAGCCCCAACACATTTTTTTAAAATTATAATTTATAGGTACATACTTTTAAGAATGGTATGCTATTATATTTTGAGGTGGCTTTGAGTGATTTGGAGAGGGCCAAGCCCGCAAGCCCCCCCCCCTATTTTCACCACTGGTACTTACATGAAGTATGAACACATTAATACAATTATTTTAAGCATGTAACATACCGGAGAAAGGTGATTTTAGCTACTTTGCATGACTCGTTTTTCGTTCTACCACAAAAAGCACAACTGACCACTATGTAAAAAATTAAATACAAAAATAGTCTGATATAGTTGACGTCGCTTATTAATCAGTATTGTTAATTACAAATTACAATTTGTAATTTATAATAATAATGTATAATATAAATTATAATATGTATATTTATACCATTGAGTACATAATATACGCACTGCGCTCAGGGGCGTACCGAGGAGGTTTTTATTGGGGGGCCAAAGTTAGTAGTTTGGCCAACTCTAAAAATTGATCCGGGACAACTTGTTTTTGTTATTTTGTCGTAGCCATTTCATCGTTAAACAGTTAAAATGTTTTAATTATTTAAGTAAATTAAAAATTCAAGCTATTATACTAATAGATTATGAAAATTGTTTATAATATATAAAGATATCCATTACAATTATTCCATTAGGTAAGTACCACATTTGCAATAAAATAATAAATAATGTTAAAAAAAAAAAAAGTCGAGCGTGTAAGAAGTACGCGGGGATGAAGTGAAACTTCTTTCAGTCATACAACTGATATGAGGTTTTGTAATAATAATAATAATAATAATCTTATGTTAATTAATGGTATATATATATTTATGGTATTAAATTTTATGGTATATCAAGTAGGTACCAGGTACCTTCTACAAAGTATACATGTAGGTTACTTATATATAATATAAATAATTGTACTTGTACCATTTTCTATCCAAGTATAAAGGAAACATACATAGACTTATAATATTATAAGTCTATGGAAACATATTGGTACGTTGGTAATGGTAAATATGTAGATGAAATCAAGTATTAATTAAATATTTATTATTATTATTTATTAAATAGTTTAATTAGTATAGTATAGTTTAGTCATACCATTATGCAATTTACCTGCCAGAATTTAATTAAATACATTAAGTTATATTTTGTTTTCTCACCTAAAAACCGTAATACATTAAGTAATACCTACTACCTACCTTTATAATATTATGTGTAGGTACTTAATTTATACTTTTAGACCAATGGACCAAAATATTTACTAATATCAGTAGTAATTCATGTCCATACATATAATATAACCCTACTATTATGTATATACATACATCTATAAAATACATTAGTCATATTATGTAGGTACATAATATATATATCAATTTGTTATTCATAAATTATTACATTTGATATTAAATAAATAAATATACTTGATAGACCATAGACATATATATTGAGTAATATCAAATTATGTCATATCATTATACAATTGAACCATCAGAGTATTATATACTATTTGAAAAATATAGGTGCGTTGGTCATTGTAAATGTGTCAAGTATTAACTAAATATTAATTATTATTATTATTATTTATTAAATACTTATAGTATAGTCATATAATATGATTAAATTCATCGAGTTATATTTTTAATATACATAATTTGACTCACCTAAAAATAGTATATTATATATATTTTTATAATGTTCCGGCCGAACTTTCATATTCCGCGACATTTCTTTTACTCATCGCGCACTCTGGAATATTTATTATATATGCGTTTTCGCTTTTATCAACTTGACTACGGAATATTGTTTATAAGTTTATACTGGTTTGTTTATAAACAAAACATCGTACCGTTTTCGTGACGCCCGATCGTCCGTGACGCCCGAGCGTCCGTGACGGTCAGAGCGTCACTCTCTTTTTTTTCGATACCCCTCACATAAGAAGTTTCACTTCAAAAAAAAAAAACAAAGTAAATAATAAAAAGGTGGGCAAGTGGGTGTCGCTCTGCTGTACAGTAGGTTCAAGAGGGTCACTGTATAATGGATGGTATTACATTTGAATTCAATGATATTATATCATTGTATAAGAAAAACGATTCTGAGCGGAGACGGTATGTCCTTCTAGGTATAAGACATATTATATAATTATCTATGGTATTAAAAAAATTGACCTATAATGAATTCCAAATTAATCATATCACAATATCCATTAGGTACTTATAACGCGTAATACACCAACAACAAACCCTGATACTATCATAGATACATAGTAGTATACTTTAGAAGTTTCAAGTACCCACGAAAAATATTATACAATCACAACAAAATAACTAAAATAGTTATTCTAGGTTTTTTATTATGTAATTTCGTCCAAATTTGAATTTAAAATGTCTGTAAAAAATAACTGTGTGCATATATTTTTTAGATTTTTTGGTTACAGTATGAACTATTTATGAGAACCTTTGTTTTAAATTTGCAATCCTTAGCTATGAAAACTGAACATTTTATAATTTATTAATTACAATGATTGATAATTTTCGAGATTTTGATAAATGTTGTCAAAATTCGATCTTTAAATGCTTATAAAAAAAAATTGTGCCTATGTATTTTTAAAATTTTTCAATTGCTATTGTAAAAATCTATCAAGACTCTTGTATTAAATTTTTACACTTTTTGGCCCAACAGATAAAACTTTATTGATATTTATAGAAAAAAAAACTAAAAAAATTTAAAACTGAAAATGTCTGTAAACAGCTCAAAAAAAGTCAAAATATTTTCAAAATTGTACGGTGTATAGAAAATGCTAATATGAACATTCAGTGAAATTTTCATGTATCTACAGTTATTCGTTTTTGAATTACAATAAAATAAGGAAATCGCTACATGAGAAATCGAGTGAATATCCAATGTTGTAAAAATTTGAATTTCAAACGCTCATAAAAATTTAATTTGACTTTCTTATAGACATTTTTGTTTTGATAAAGGTAGATAATTTTATAAGGAATCTTGTATTACATTTTAAAATCTTAGATTTAAAAAGAAAAAATTTTACGAATTCCTAACTCAAAATAATTTGCTAATTTTCGTGATTTTTCCATATTTGGTCAATTTTTGAAGTTTAAATGCTTATAAAAAAAATTGTGACTAAGGGTTTTTAATATTTTTCATCTGCCTATGAAACAATATACTAGGAGCCTTCTTTTAATTTTTCAAGCTTTCGCAACCAATGAATAAAATTTTATTGATATTTTTAGAAAAAAAACTAAAAACAAATGGAAAATGAAAATGTCCCTAACCAGTTCAAAATAAATCAAAATATTTTAAAATGTTATCGTGTATATAAAATGCAAATATAAACAACCAGTGAAAATTTCATGTATCTACGTTCATTTGTTTTAAAGTTACACCAAAAACCAAATCGATTTTTTGGAAAACTGATTTTGCGTAAAAATTCCCGCTTTTCCTTAATTTTTATGTTGTTTTTCCCGGCGCTTGTGAAAACTACTAGGAAATTTTTACATAATATTACAGATAAACATAACGTGACGTATAATAATTATTGTAAATAATAGTGGTAGGTATCGCAAGCCTGCAGTACTGATACATACATTTATAACAAATTAGATGCCATAGACTGAAAACATCAAGTTGGCTATTTATAGTATCTGGTATCATTAACATTGGGATTTTCAAACTCCCTCACCATTGTACCTATTCCTCTTATTATTACTGACACACTGATAACAATTTAGTATTTACTGCTTGTTTTTCCGATAATAGACAATAGATATTTTCATAGGCGCAAATAGGAGGGGGGCTAGGGGGCTTTAGCCCCCCTTGAAGTTTCTATAGCCCCCCAAAAACTAATGATTTCACTACTATAATTTAAAAGCATCATAAGAGTTTCAAGTATAGACTGAGCTTCAGCCCCCCAAATTTCAAACACTATTTACGCCAATGGATATTTTTCTAGTTCAGACAGTATAATAATATTAGTATATTCACTATATTATTCTAATAACCTTGATTCTAGTCAATATCACCATCACAAATCACAATCGTCAATCGTATACAAATTATTAGTTTGCCATTATGTACAGTTATTGAGTTTTTCATAAATGTAAAATGGCCAACTCAAAAGTTAAGAAACCAATTATTGGGGGGGTATTATGACCACCCTACCCCCCCACTAGGTTCGCCCCTGACTGCGCTGCCATCTAGTTTAAATTGTTTCAACTTAAGGTTGCACAATTATGTTCAGTTGATTCATATCAAAGTACATGGTAATATAGGAAATGGCCTGTCCTTATATTATTTACTCAATGTAGTACACTGGCTGCTTCTGATTACATAATAAAGGCATTTAGAAATTATTTAGATTAATATTTATTGATGATTAACCTAATATTAAATTTATTTATATTATTTCATTTATTTGAAATTCTTCGTCAGGCTACTAAAATAACAATTCGAATAAATTGAAAATAGTTTATTATGTTAAAAATATTTTAGATATGGTGTGTTGAACTTAATAGGTGTATTGCTGTTCCTAAATGTACTAATATCATATGAAAAAAAAACCGAATTTAACCATTTTTAAATTAGCCTGTCTTCTGCCCAGAGGTCTAACCTACACACAAACATTCATTTATTTATATATATATTATATATATATGGACAAAAAACAAAATACCAATCAAAAAACATGTCCTACTAACCAATAGCAACCAATATAAATTATAATACACTTTTGCGCCACTGTTGTATTTTTTTCATCCAGATTTCCTACTTTTCCAGTTGATTTTCCTAAAATATTCTCTCGTATAAATCTTCTCCTGGCAATTAGGTACGAACATCTCAAAAAAAATGGAGCCAAGGTCAGGCCGTTCTTGAGTTTTAGCGATACAAACGAACAGCAATTCATTTTTATATATATAGACTAGCTGATCCCGTGTATTTCGTTACCCATTAAATGTACCAAATCTATATGACTCAAACTTTGTTCAATTCATTATTTAATATTCAGTGTAAGTGTTCAAAATGTATGTTAAATTTTCCGTTGCCAGGAATAATAATTCTGATTCGCAGCAGTATATTAACAGGTAGGCAATCTACCTGCGGTAGATCGCGGACCCCTTGATGTTTGTACGTAAGTGTATGATTTAAGTCTAAAGTATCAAAGTTATACCAAGTTTGTTGTAAGTTTGTAACCTATGGTGGATTAATATAATCAGTACACGCATAGAAATTTCGGAGTTAAATCTACAATAGATAGGAGCAAAATGTCTAGTTAATACTGGGTTCTATTCACGATAACACTTTGTCGGGAGTCATCATGAGTGTAGATCACTTGACAATATTGTTATGAATTGTCGTGACTCTAATTAAACGTAAATTAAGCAACAATAAATAGTTATTTTGAAACTCTTGTTTGTTGGTATGAAATGTACACAATTAGTCAATCTATAACATTGTAATAATGTCATTGTAGCTACCGTAATTAGTAGATTTGGTTAACAAGATGACTTTAATATAACAAAATTGAGCATCATTTTAAATATAAACAAATAGTACAATTTACAAATGAATAACCACGTTATTTTAACTATATTAGAAGTATATATAAGAAGAAAAAAGTGTTGATTTAACTTCAAAGTAATTTAATTCACCATCAAACCTAACCCGAGGAGTGTTGATAACAATTCATAATGTGTAATTTTAGGTACCACATGACAAGTCATTATAACAACATTAAACATTGTAAACAATAAATATTAAATTAATTTTAGCCATAACCTATACAATCTGTTACGATTAGTTTACTTATTCGTTTTAACTCCATCGTGGCATCGTGTCTCGTACCATATTGATTTAAAGGTGCAAAAATATTGTGTAAAAAGTAATATTCGATACTTATCTACAAACTAATTTACTTATAAATTATGGACCAGGGCGATAACGAAAATATACAATATATTGATGTAAGTACCTACCTATAATATAAGACATTATGAATTTAAATATTAGTTTAATTTATTCAATAAGTTATTTTAATTTATTTATCTCAAACATCATCTTAAACTTATAGCAGTTTTTTGAAGATCAAAGATATGATAGTTTTTCTGGAAGTATACATAATTTAAATGAAGATTACATCATTACCCCTTTGAATGTAGCAAAAAACGATAATAATATAAGTTCTAGTGCAAGTAGTTTTAATAGATATTCTCCATATCCTCCACAACCCAAGTATGGTGTATATAAGCCAATGGAGTGGACTTCACGGGTAATATGCTAATGTACTATAACAGTGTATGAGCTCGTAAACAATTTTAATGAATTATTTGTAGACAATTATGGCTTTATTGCAGACAACAAATGATGGTCGTTTCATTATGGCTGATGCTAATGTCAATAATGGCCTCCTCTCAGATGAAGCTCAGAATAGCCTAACTAAACTATTAATTCATTATTTGTTTCAAGATAAGAGCAGGTAATAAATCAAATCAGGGTAGGAGCCTAGTTTCAAAAATTTAGTCTAGATCAATGTTAATAATATAACAATATTTATAACTGCACATTTATAGAACAAACCTATATAAAGTTAGGTTTTTTTTACAGAGTTTAATTTAATTTATAATTTATTATTTATTTAGTTGTATTTGTATTTTACCATCAATATTTGATGTAAGTAAAATTTATATTTATATATATTCAAGAATATAATGTATTTTAAATTTCCTAGGTTTAAAATAACAGAAATCTACCAATTGAGAATTGATTTGAATATAATTAGTATTAGAATAGTATCTGAGTAGTAGAGTAATAGCCAATTAAATATTATATAACTAATGTGTAGTATTATTTATTTGGTAATATTTTGATAATTTTCAGGGGTACTGACTTTTACTTTCAGAAAATTGCATCTTTAATTATTGAAATATTTCCTAAAGAACAAGAGGTTGGTTATGAAATAAATTTCAGCATATTTATGAAAAATAAAACTATTATACTATGCATCTTATATAGAAACTATATTTCATACCATCGAGCAGTTTAAATAATTCTCATGCCAAAGGGAAATTAGTTGAAAGGTGGAAGAATGTCTCGCGTCGTTTGAGAAGTATAGGTGCTATTGAAGGTGGAAGAAAAACTAAATGTGCTAATGATATATCACCTGCAGTTATAACCTTTTCTGGTAATACAATTATAAAATATGCCTAATTTGTAGAAATGTTTATTTATTAATAACATTGATTCTAATAGATGAAATTGAAGCTGCTAAAGTCTGATTGAGTCAGTCAGGTCCATCTTCTGACTTTGAAGAAGTTATTAAACACTGGAAAGTTACTTATGATATAAGGAAAACAGAAATCCATGGTTCTGACATTTCAAAACGTCATTTGTCTGAAATTTTTAAATCCTGGCCTATTGTATGTGGCCCAAAAGGATATGTTCTGGTAATTTTTAAAATAAATATAAAAATTCATGGCACAAAATTAGTGAGTATCTTTATTCAAGATTTATATTTTTAAGGTATTTGAAGATTTTAATTTGGAGTATCCCAGCATTAAGAATCTTTTACATGGCTGGACAACATTTATAAAAAAGTGGACTTATTTTTCAAATAATTTATGGTAAAGACTTATTGAAACAACTCGATGCTGTACAACTCAGTGGAAGTGAGTATAAAATATAAATCCATCAATTAAAATAATATTTTTACATAAAATGTACTTGACTGTTTTAATTTAAACTATTTATTACCCTTATATAAGATACCAGGGCGTGCAATATTCTCAAACTTCTCCTAATTCCATATCTTGTGCCCACTAAAACACAAATCAAAAATAACAAAAATTCATGGAAACCGTCACTTGTTGAGTCAGCTGTAGCTTTTGTTGTTCATGTTACTATAAGTTATATTTATTAATTACATTTCAATTGAACAAATTCATTATATATTGTAACTATATGTAAAAAAGTAGTATTTATAATATTAATATAAATCTGAATCCAGATATAATACCAGGAATAAAATTATACCAATTTAATACTTTCAAAAACATTAAAATCACAGTTGGACAACAGTGTCGAGTTAATAAAGGCACACAATTAGGGTCAAGTGGGTTAAATGAAAATAGGGGTAATTGAAAACGATATTAATTTCTTATCAATGTGTGGTGATAACATATATCCAACCCAGCGTCGGGTTACCCTACAGGCAAAACAATGAGGTGATTGGAGCGGCAAATTTGTTAGGGCGGAAAATTTGCCGCACTTAAGAAAAAAATGTATTTATAAAATTATATTATAACGTCTTATGAGTTATGAGTAGGGCTCGGATGTTGTTGCACTCAAAATGTTATAAAATTGATTGCATTATTGCTGTGAAAAAAACCCAAAATTGCACTTAAAAATTGCAATAAAAAAATATTTTGTACCAAAAAAATTAAAAAAATATATTAAAAAATTATTTTATGAAATGGATTAAGTCATTTTATTAAGTAATATTTAAAAGTTTTATTAGGTAGGTTTTAAACGAGTAGATAATAAAAAAGATTCAAATTCAAATTCTTGTCAGTTGTCATTAAAAATCTGGTAAATTGTCCGGTCTTCTTATATTTTCAGAAACCTATAAATAATTTTATCAAAATTTAAAACTTTTTATTTAAACTATTTTTATTTCTTTTTTTAAGTTACCGCCAACGACGACGGTCAAATAAGCCCGACATAACCATAGATTAAACCTGTATAATCTAACAAAAAAAAGTGAAAACACAAAAAAATACATAAAATTGTATTGAAAATGACGACAATCAACAAAATTGCAATAAAATTGAAAAAAGATCAAAATTGCAAAAATTTGCACTTAAATTTTTTATATATTAATTGGTACTCGTTTGAAACAAATTTATAACCTACTTAGCAACGAATCCGAACAATAGAAAAAAAGTTGCAAATGCAACAACATCCGAGCCCTAGTTATGAGTATTAGCTTATTAACTCAGTAAAAAAATGAAATGGTTTCGGTGAATGCGATCAACTAGAATTTTATTGTTATTATTAGCGAATCTATGTTTTTCCCGGAAACGGTTTATATTAAATATATGATAAAATCATTAATATATGAATATATGATTACACATATTATACATTAAGGCGATAGCCGATACGACGTTGTTTTTGTCAATTATATTTTATTTTCGTGATTCTATTACTTACAATTACAAATAATATTATACATATTCTTTAATCCTTATTATAACAATATTCTGCTTATTAGTATACCGCGACAGTGCAACTTGTGTTACGAGTGTAACGACGTCTTTATTTATTTTTGTTATAATTGTTCAAATTATTAAATCACAATGAGTGATGGTAGAAAAATAAAAAATGGTGCAAAATACAAAAAGCTGCGAGAAGAGCATGAAGAAAAAGAAAAAAGGGTTATTCAAAAAATAAGAAAACTCGATACTTTTTTCACAAATTTAAAAACAGGTAAAAACAATTTACTCTATATTTCTAAAAAATAAATATTGGGGGACGAGGTGGCCGAGCGGTCTAACACGTCGTCTGCGGCGATGGTGGTCGCGGGTTCGATTCTCTCGACCACTGGGCGGCATTTTTCTCCGGGCAAGTCACGGTGTCCGGAGAACAAGTGCCGCCATCCCCCACTCCGGGGCATGGCAGAAACCTACGGGTGCCCCACTCGAAATTCTGCCAAAATATACCCACGTGTAACAACCTACAGTTTTCCCCCTACAGTACCACAGGCTAATAACCTCGCAGTTGATGCCTTAAAAAATTAAAAAATAAATAAAAATAAATAAATAAATATTTTTTTTTTTAAATTTTTGATGACACGTTCACTGTGGTTAGGTTAACCTGCCAATAAATTGGCGTCATCCGCACAATATTTTACAATACTATGTGTCTCAGCCGACGCTTGAATAAAATAATATTAATTAAATTATATCAATTATATAATATCGCCCTCGTACTACTTCGCCACCTATCGATTCGTAGTCGCAAATCGACGTTTTTTTTTTATAATATTAGATGTTTTAAAATTATTTGATATATCACAGTCGTGAATCGCAGTTGTATTATTTTATTATTTTTGTGCGCCAATTGGCATTTCTTATTTGTATTATTGTACCTAACTCCGTGGTGTTAAGTGTGCGAAATTATATTTTAATATATTAATATAGGTAATATAGGAATGTGTATTGTAATATGATCCGCAGTGAACGTTTAAAAAATAAATATTCACGAAAAAATGCTAAATTTATTACTGAATATTATTATATTTATATAGACTCATCTACTTTAACTACTACTCTCACATTAACCACAAGTACTATTACTTTAACTACAAGTACTTCAACGAGTTCAACTTGTCATCCTAATACTGAATTAGATATTACGCCTAGCCCTACCATTTTGTCTGTTTCAACACCTTTAGAGCTAGAGAAAGGAAACCACGCAGGTGATGCTAGAAATCTGATTTCAATAGATATAGCTAAATGTACAGCCCCGAAATCTCTAGTATCTCTTGATGATATAACTGTAAATACAGATCCTGCCAAATGGATAGACCAACTACTTTCGAGAGACATCGATCAGAACATACCCGAAGATTTTTCTGTCACTAGAAGGTATTACTCCTCAGTAAGTGGATATCGGTCATTGACAAAACTTGCATTTGAGAGCAAAATAAAAAAGGGAAAACTGCACAGAAAATATTTATGCTATTCTTCGAGTAAAAAGGCACTTTTTTGCATTCCGTGTCGTTTATTTATGGTAGTTCAAAATTTAGTACAGATGGATATGATGATTGGAATAATGTACACAGCGGCCTAACCTCCCATGAAAATTCCTCAGAGCATGTTCAAAGCTCGAGCACTTGTTTAAACAGAAGTAAGTTGAAAAATCGAATAGATAAAGAGCTCCAACTACAAATTCAAAATGAAATGAATTATTGGCAAAATGTGCTTCAACGAGTTGTAGCGGTAGTAAAAAAAACTTGGTAGTGGAGGATTACCATTTAGAGGGAAGAATGAGGAATTTGGGTCAAATAAGAATGGGAATTTTATGATGTGCTTGGAGCTTATTGCGGAATTCGATCCTTTTATGTCTAATCGTTTAGCTACTTGTGGAAACCCGGGTCGGGGTAAAACATCCTATCTGTCTTCTATAATTTGTGAAGAGTTTATTTCTTTGATTGCGAAAAAAAAGTATTAAATGTGATTATTGACGAAGTAAATCGTAGTAAGTATTTTTCCATTGTTGTTGATTCAACTCCCGATATCAGCCACGTGGATGAATTGTCGTTTGTAATTATATACGTAAAACGAGAAATTCAAGAAGATACGCCAGCTGAAGTTGAACGATTTTTAAAATGTATACCCAATGTTGGACATAAGGCAATAGACATGCTAAATGCAGTTACAAGTACACTCGAAGAATTTGGTTTGAATTTACAGGATTGCCGCGGTCAATCTTATGATACTGCCGCAAACATGTCTGGATGTTACTCAGGATTAAAAACAACGATACAAAATCTAAATCCATTAGCAATTTATGTACCATCTGGAGGACATAGTCTAAACCTCGTTGGATTGTCCGCTGACGATTCTATCAAGAGCGGCATTTTTTTTTTGATTACTTAGAAGCCATCTATGAATTTTTTGCAAAATCTACTTCTCGGTGGCAATTGATGAAACAGAAATTGAAACCAAATCAGAAGGTAGTAAAAAGAGCTACTGGAACTAGGTGGTATAGTCGTTATAATGCATGTTCTTCTTTCAAAAATAGCTGGGAAGAATTTATGGAAACATTGAATGATACAGAAAATAATAATTCTGAAAAAAACATAAATCGTAGAAAAGCTGCAGGTTTTAAAAATAACTTGAGTTCATTTGAGTCGGTCTTTTTGGCCGTATTTTGGACTTCTTTGTTGGAACGATTCAATAAAACAAGCACAGTTGTACAATCAACATCAGCTAACTTTCGAATAATGAAACAATGATTTCATTTTTAGATGGTTCCACTTGGAAAAAAATTAGACGTAATTTTTCAGAAAAAATTGTATTCCCTATTGACTTATACTATGATGATGTTGAATTAGGTAACCCATTGGGTTCACATTCTGGAATACATAAAATGGGATGTATTTATTATTCAGTAGTAGTATTTCCTCATGAATATTTGTCTGCCTTGGAAAACATTTTTATAGCATTTTTATTTCACTCTGATCGAGGAATTAATAAAGTGACAAATGAAATTATGTTTTCATTCCTAATCAATGAGTTGAAAGATCTTCAAACCAATGGCATTACAATACAAGTTGACTTGGTCGAAATCGCAATATTCTTTGCTCTTGGTTTAGTATTAGGAGACAATTTAGGTCTAAATTTAATTTTGGGTTTCGTTGCTAATTACTGTTGCTTAATTTATCGTTGTTCTAAACATGATCTTCATAAAATGGTACGCGAAGTTGACACTTTAATACGGAATGAAAATAATTATGAAACAGATATTATTTTAAACTGTGTGTCTAATTCTGGATTAAATTAAAGATATATATTTAACAAAGTGCCCAATTTTCATGTTGTACAAAGTATGGTTTTTGATTTTATGCACGACATTCCTGAAGGAGTGGCGCGTTATGACATGGCACTAGTAATTAAAAATCTTATTGATAAAAAATATTTTACTTTGAACCAACTAAATTCTAGAATAACTCTTTTTGACTACGGTGTTACAGAACGCAAAAACTGTCCTCCAAAAATAAATCAGAACAACTTAAATAATGGGATAGTTATTATGTCAGCATCGGAGATGTTATGCCTAGTAAGAAATTTTGGTTTAATTGTAGGTGAGTTAGTCCCTAAACATTCTCAAAACTGGAAACTATACATTTTATTACCACAGATAGTTGATTTATGTTGTGCGTGTAGAATACAAAGTGATTGTGCTTTATTACTAGATTCTATTGTTGCTCAACATAATAGCCTGTATCTCATCTTGTCAAAAAGCAATTTAAAACCAAAATTTCATAATTTAACCCATTATGGTCGTATGGTCCAATAAAGTTAACATCATGTATACGGTTTGAAAAAAAGCATAAGATTTTGAAAGGTGTGGCAAATGCAATACCTTTTCGCATAAATCTTGGTCATACATTAGCCTATAAATTACAACTTCAAATGGTTAGTCGCCTTCTTTCAAAAACTGGTTTTCAACATGAATTGAAATTAGGTGCTGGAAAAGAGATTGTTGTCAATTCTGAGTTTCCAGCACCATTGTACAATTTTCCTCAAGAATTATTCCCAGTTTGTATGCATCTTGGCTTAAATTTAAAGGAGTTTATTATAAAAAAGGCTTACTTATGGTTATTGATGTAAATCTTGATGGCTGTATTTTTGGGGAAATAATAAGTCTGCTTGTAGGGAAATCTAGGAACCCTTATTTTATACTGAGACCAATTTCAAGCATAGGTTTTGATCCACATTACCATGCATATGAAATTGAAAATACTAAAGAAATAAATATTTCAAATCATATTGGCTGCTATATTAATGAATTACCTGATTCAACACCAACTGTGGCTAGAGTTCTAGAGAATGGTAAAATGTATGCTACTTTAAAATATTTGCATTTTAAATTGTAAACTTTATTTTTATAATTAGTATTTATTAATAAAACTATATATTAATATACTTATTGTTCTAAATTTGTAAAAAAATATTGAAATTAAATAAATGTTATTCTAATTAAACTTGTGTTTGTTTATTACATGGATATAAAAAAATTATAACAATAAGCATTATCATTATTCAGTATTCACCACAATAGTGTTAAAAGTTGAAATTTATTAAATTTATTTTTCAAACAAATGTTTTCTATACAAAATTAAAAATTGTTTTGACTATAGAGCTTATGCCTGATTTAAATGAATTTAAGGTTAGATACACTATACACAAAATCTAATTTAACATTTAATTAAGTGTAATTTTAAAACTTGATGTTGTCAAAACAACACCAATATAATATATCAGCTGACTCCTGTAATAAATTAATTTAACGTTAGTGATGACACTGATAACTACTGATAATGTTATTACAATGTGTCGGATATAGTAAAATCACGGAATTCAGAGGTTAAATCAACACCAAATAATAGTTAACCCACTATTAAGCGAGCTTAGGATGATAGTAATTACGACAATTATTTTAACTAAAACAACGCTCAAGGATTATAAATTAACTCAGCTTTTATAAGGCTACCTACTGTAACACGTCTTAATGTTAAATTAACCACAAAAATGGTTAATAATTACTCCAATTTGTCGTATATTTTACATACAAATTTAACTCCTATGTTGATGTCAATTCAACTGCAAGACAGCCTTAGCTCAAAATCTACGTTCAAATGCGTACAACATTAACTATCATTGTAGTTAAAATAACTCCAAATTTCTATGCGTGTACTAATATCAGATGGCGAACAAAATATTTACTTTCTACACATGAAAGTTTTAAGTGTAATTTATATGTATTGTTAATAACATTTAATATTATATTATATCTGTATAAAGTAAAAAATATTACATTTTGTTAAAAATGCCTATGACGTGTTGTGTCGAAAAATACTGTAGTCGTGGTAATCGAAAAGCCAACAGCACAGGAAAATTGCATTTTTTCGGGTAATTAAAAATTAAATAATAATAATTAACACAATGCATTTTAAAAATTTAATAAAATATAATTAAATATTCTTAAATTATTTTTATAAAATAGATTTCCTTCTGATGAAGTGAAAAAGCAAATGTGGGTTAAAGCTATTAAAAGAGAGAATTTTGTTCCTACTCGTTATAGCAAAATTTGTAGCAAACACTTTACAAACAACGACTTTTACCAAGGGTACTTTATAAAGTTATTGAAAGAAACTTCGGTACCTAGTATGTTCAATAGTGATCCTGTGAGGAAAAGAAAGCTGACATATGGTGATCACACTTATTTTAGTACAAAATCACCTTCTCCAAAATTAATAGATCAGACCACTGAAAATAGTAAGTCTTATATCAAATTATTAGGTTTATGTTAAGTATAATAATTTGTTTTTGTAGATATTGCTGACTCAGTGTCAACAATAAGTAGTTTACAATGTTCTAGCCCAACAAGTTCAGAAAACTATGGCATTTTGTATTTGTCAATAAAAAATGCAATTTCTTTTGATCAGAAATCATCACCTCCACCTCCGAATTATAATGTGGAAACGCTAGGTACAAAATACAATTTAATTATAATTTTTTCTTAATTGCAATCTTGATTACTAATTTATGCTTGTGTTTAATGATATTATTAACTCCCATACCTATTAGTTCGATTTGATTAATTAAATTTAAAAAAAAAGTTTTTAAATTATTTATTATTGTTCAAATTGATGATTTAGATTGTATGCCAATACACAAATTGAAGAGGAAACGTCTACAAAAAGAAGTTGAAACTCCTATTAAAAGAGGACTGAGGAAAAAAGTTAAGCTTCTTCAACAAAAAGTTAGAATACAAAACAAAAAAATAACCAACATTGAGGTTTGTTTATTGTATATTTAATAATTAAACTTTTGCACAATAGCTGTTTATTGCATAATAAAGATTAGGAATGCATCTTACACAAAGATTATAATTAAACAAATATAACATAATACACAAAACAGTAACACAGTATACATAATTGTTAAATATATTAATTACATTATTTAGATGTTAATGGAAACAAATAAGTCCTCAACTGATACTGAGACAACACAAATAATAGGTAAAAATTTTACAAGTGTTTTCCTAGAAGATCTAGTTAGAAATAGTAAACTTCAGGAAAACGATACAGTGATGATGTTAAAAATTTGCTACTACACTTTACTTTTATTCACCTAAATGATTTTGTAAGGTAATATGTGATGATTACATTAAACATTTGTATTCTACACAATTCATTTCAATGTCACATTCTAAAAATAAGATAAATGTTCAGGTCTTCAATACATTTGCCGAATCCAAGTGCAATTAGAAACTGGCTTTCAAATGTAAATGTAAATACTGGATTTTTGATGTGTTAATAGAAATAGGTAAATTTGAAGATGTTGATAAATACTATTGCTTGATATAAGACTCTATGAGCATAAAGAAAGAAGTGCATTGGGATAAAGCTACTAACAGGTTTATTCATTATTACTTTATATATTATTTGAAATACTAATTGTGCTTAATACATAACAGGTAGATATGTTGGATATTGTGATTACGGAAATAATTTAACAATTGAAGACTGTGAACAACCAGCATCTGAAGTTTTGGTATTTATGTTATCAAGCTTAAAGAAAGCGTGGAAATGGCCTATAGGCTATTGGTTTGTGGATAAAATGAAATCATCAGTGCAGGCCCAGTTAACTCGTATAGCATTATCAGAATGTCAAAAATATGGTATTAATGTGTTAAGTGTAACATGTGATGGTGCATACGCTAATTGTAGTACTTTTCAAATATTAGGTTTAAATATTTAAACCAAACATTTGAAGATTTAAAAACACATTTTAATATCGATCCAAATACACCAAATATTTACTTAACTCCAGATGCTTGTCATAACATTAAGTTGGCAAGAAATGCTTTAGGTACATTCAAGGCATTCAAAGATGAAGATGGAAACTTATTATAATGGAGATACATAGAACAACTTTGTAAACTTCAAAGTGAGATTGGGTTCAAATTTACAAATAAGTTGAGCACATCTCACATTAACTGGAATGCAAACAGCATGAAGGTGAAGTTGGCCGAACAAACGTTGAGCAGTTCTGTAGCTGATTCATTGCAGTATCTGAAAAATACATTAGATAATTTTAAAAATTGCGAGCCAACAATTAAATTTATACGTAGTTGATGAAATTTTTGATTTTCTTAACTTAAGAAATCCATTTGCCAAAGGACATAAGCAACCTATTAGAACTAACAATATTGTTTACCTGGAAAATCAAATGACTTATTTAATCAAATATTTATACTCTTTAAAAACTGTTGATGGAGTAGATTTATGGAAAAGTCAGAGGAAAACTTGTATTCTTGGTTTCGCAACTGCAATAAAATCAATACTTGAAATATCTAAAAAAATTACTTGCCAATCAAAGTTTTCTATATATTTTAACTTACAAATTTAGTCAAGATTATATTGAGTAGTTTTTTCGTAATATAAGAGGACGTTTTGGACATAATGATAATCCAAACTGTCTACAGTTTAAGTACGCCTTAAGAAGTATTTTACTGCATATTTCAATCAAACAATCAACTGGAAATTGTTCCTTATAAGACTTTTCATGAAGATTCTTTGTTTTCATTAAAATGGAAGTATAAAAAAACTGAACATGTACTGGAAAATGAGGAACAGGTACAATTAATAACTGACAACTGCAACAATCCGATTTTAAATTCATTGACAGAGATTGTGCTTTATTATATAGCAGGATATGTAATAAAAAAAATATTACCAGTACTCATTTGTGAAAAACGCATCAAAGCTGTGACAGATGATTCATATGTGCAAGATCATACATACTGTACTGTAGTGAATGAATCATTCAAAACTCTCACAAGAATGAAGAACAGGGGAGGCTTAGAATTAGCATCGGAAAGTGTTTTCAGAGTTATCAAAACCATTGAAACATACTTTAAGTCTGTAGTTTCTGATTGTTGTCTAAGAATGTAGATACTAAAATAATCCTCTGGGTTCAAAATACATTAGCATTATCGGCCACTCTTTTTTATGAAAGTATAGATTGTTGGTATGCAACAGACATACATGCAAGACCTCACAAAATTAAATTAATTAACCTAATTTCACACACATATTTAAATATAAGATTACACTCTTATAGCAAAATATTAACTTCTTCAATAATGAAGGTGGCTACAAAAAGACAGAAGCTTCATAAAACTATTTTATTTTACAACATGTAAAAGTATTTATTATTATATTGTGTAATATTGTTTTAATTTGTCAAAATACCTATACACCTATTACCTAGTTAAGAAATTGT